CTTGTCCTTCCTGGATCTTCGCTACCACCTGCTGCTTTTCTACCTTCAGGACCTTACTCACCTGATCAGCATCAAGAGTGAAGGAGGCAAAATCAAAGGCAGTGAAGCGTTAACCAGAGTGGTCACCATCAGAACAGTGAGATATTGTTGAGTTAAAGTAGCCTTTTTACCCGTTAGCCTGACCTACAGCTTTTAACCTGAGTTTCCCTTTGATTGTTCTTGGAAGGTCTTGGAGAAAATGCGGCCACTGGACCATAAACTCAAGTACCAGATTGACAAACTGCTGCGGACGGCTGCTACTGGCAGTATAGGTAATGAAAATCTCCGTTGTTGATTTTAAATCATCTGTGAGAATGAAACTTTGGGCCTTATAGGTCCCATTATTAAACAGTCAAAAGAAACATAGCATAACACACAACAGAAAAGTAGCGTTTTATATTACATAATTGAACACTTTCCACTTTTCTGTTGACCGTAGCTGAAAATGACCCACTGCAGCTGCGGCCCAATCCTGGGAATCTCATCAGCAAGGTAATGTCACAACCATCTGTATCCATTTAAATGTGACAATGTTTCATTTTTGTGATGGATGTTCATCAGATTGATATCTTTGTTAATGTGCTCTAATCAATCCAGCTGAATGAATCAGAGGAGTCTGAAGATGAAGAAGAGCCTAACACAGCTTCAGAGAAGAAAGCAGCTCACTCTAGTGGCAAGAAATATATACCACCAAAGATTGCTCCAATGCACTATGGTATTTCCCCTTTGTTACTCATCACTTCCTTTTTATTCTAAATTAGAGAATCTAAGGTTTTATATTTCAATGTTATTCAATTAATAATCCCTGCAGACGGTGACATGACTGAAGCAGACAAGAAAAAGGCCCAGTTGGAGCGTCAGAAGCGAGCGGCTCTGAGGAGCTCGGTGATCCAGGAGCTGAGGCAACAGTACAGTGACGCCCCAGAGGAGATCAGAGAGAGAAGAGACTTCCAGAGTGAACGCCAGAGTCGTGACGAGATCCACAGGTTTGTTTATCCCTCTCTATGCATCACAATCCTACTGTCAGCTAAACAGCTACAGGTATAGCACCTAAAACTGTTTGAATTGAGTCCAAGCTTCTGTCCTGCAGGAAAAATTACGAGGAGTCCATGATGGTGCGTCTCAACGTATCAAAGAATCAGAAGAACGCAAAGAAGAGAGGTTTGATGGCCATGTCGGGCCAACTTAGCAGCATCACGAATTTCGGGGATATCTCAGCGCTGACAGGTGGCGAAGACAGAGAGGTGACAGCAGGCATTAATATAATTCTTTTAATTATATTTGGTAATCTTTTTTGTGGTACATGCAAATATGTCTTTGTCCAAAGACGTGCAATTAAAAAAACTAAACTGCCTCCACATTTTTAACTTGTTGAGGACAAAAGTAGAGAGAAATACTGATGCAATCGACTTCAAAGAAATACGTTTTTTTGAGATGCGTTCAACACACTATAATAATGTAAGATAATGTAAGTTGCAGATGTAGAAAATATTAATTTTTTTGTATTTAACGTGTGTGCAGGGTGGAGACATTCTTCGTCCCAAGAAAAAAAAGAAAGTCATGAAGAAGAAAACCAAGAGAAAAGGTAAAGATGAGAAATTTCAGCACCAGCTTCAATCCAGGTATCTTAATCCCAAAAATGTTGTCAAATATGTTTTCTTTTCTCTTTGCAGCATTCAAGAAGCACAAGTAAACCCAACACCTGTGATGCCTGTGTGTAACCATCATCAGTTTGCTTCACTGATTATTGTGTCAGCTCTAATAAAAATATTTGTGTATGAACTGGGTTTGTGCAATACTAATTTTATCAGAGGTAATACACATGGATGTATACACACTGAAAACAATAACAGATGTTAATGTCAAGACCAGCTCTCCAGTAGAAGAAAAGAGATCTACTGCATCCAGGGCCAACATGCAGATGAGGACATCTGAGACATTTGAGGACACAATCCTGTGTTGAATTTGATCAGTGGTGTTGACAAGCTGCCATATGTTGTTGTAAGGCCTCGTTCCTCTGTGCAGCTTCATGTACAACAGGCTAACTGAACGTGAGGCAAACAAATGGTTCACATGTGGCTGTAAATCAATACCTGTTGCCAGTTCTACTGTCTGACAGACAGTTTTCATTTTTGGGGATTTTTTTATTGCTGTGAAAATAGTGGCTTTGTCTAGGGTTAGATAACTATCTTGATGTTTAAAGAAATAAATTCACAAGACTATCCTCAGTCTTGTCGTATGTTACATAAAGAGTGAGTACCATTTATGCTGACTAACACACTGGGTTAATTTGGCATAGTTTTCAACAAGTTCCAATAAGTCTGCCTCATAAATGCTGTTTGTTCTTGTTATCTCCCCTATAACATAGACAGCTATTTTGGAAGAGGATTAACCTTACATTACTGTTCTATATTTACTAAGTCAATATTTCCAAACATTATATAAGCCAATGCACAATAGTAAAAATCCAAAGGTGCACCACCAAATACATGTCCCAAAAAGTGCATGTAATGAAGTAAATACATTTAGTTTCTTAAATCTATACATGTCCAGGTTATAAAGATCTGCATCGTGGAAGAGGACAAAATTTCAAGAAATGTAATTTTTACACAATGTCTTTATTTTTTTTCCCTACTTACAGACTCATGGATTAAAAATAAAAATAGCAAAATATTGAAACCCACTCCCCTTTTTCAAAAAGAAAAAAAAATCTCCACACAAACCCTACCCGTGGCCTCCCCCGCCTAAAACAACAACTCTGGCCCAACATTAATTAAATTAATGATCAATGCCGTTAGCGCGTCAGCCTTCCTCAGACAAGCCGTGAATGCACTGCGCCAAGTCAGAGAGGGGGCGCTATCAAGTTTTGCATGTACACCCTGGTTTCTGGTCCTGCCCTCCTCGCTCTCTCTGCCTCTCAGCTGTGTCGGCTTCAGCTCTCTGGATAGAAATCGTGTGTAGGGTCGGCTGCCGCTGACGGGCTGACTGTGCTGTGTGTGTGTTTGTGTGTGTGTGAGTCTGAGTAAGTGTTGTGTGTGTGAAAAAGCACTAAAAGCATCTCAGCGTTTGCTGTTGTAGTAAATGCCCCCCGCTGCGGGCCTGTGGTCACCCTGCCCACCTCCCCCGCCCCCCCACACGGACAAGATGGGGTGAGTGTGCATAGCGGGAGCAGAGAGAGAGAGAGACGCTGCGGAGACAGTGGGGGGGGCCGGCGCCACCTGGGGAGGGGTTGTCAGCCTCCACTGGTCCTGAAACCTGAAACGACAAGAAGTGGTCTAATATACAGAGAGAGGAGGGGGGAGGGAAGGAGAGGAAGGGAGAGAGGAGAAGGATGGTGCATGGAGGGGTTGGCAGGAAATAAAAACACTGATGTCTGTTGAAAAAGCAAAAAAAAAACAAAAAACAAAAAACAAAAAAAAAAAAAAACGAGCGTGGCCATGCATGAACCAGTAGAGGGGGCAGCCCTCAAAGAAGAAAAGGAAAAAATCATGAGTCACCCCAAAGAACACTGACGTTCCATCACTGTCCAAAGACACACACTCCGTGGGGTTATGAGCGGGTGGGTAGGTGGTGCAGGGGGGCACCAGTGGTGCAATGCAGAGAAGGTAGGGGGGAGAGAGGGTGAGAGGAGGCACAGAGGGAGGTGATGGTAAACTACAAAAACACAACAACACTCAGGCTGGTGGAAGGTTTCAAACATGTACGGTAACAGATTAATACAAAAAGCAAAACGGAGAAAAAAAAAAAAAACGAAAAAAAAAACTAATGAGAACACTAGTCATCTCATTGCCTCCCACCAACCTGCCCCACCCTCTCCCTCCACACTGATCTGATGGTGGTGGCAGTGGTGGGCGAGCAGGTGGGCTGTGTAAGTGATGGAGTGAAAGCAGGAGGTCACAGCCAGACCAAAGGAGACACATCTGCAGCCTGAGATTCTGTCCCTCCCCGCCCCCGCCCTTCATCCCATCCAACCCTGCCCTGCCCTACCCAAAAAACCCCAAACCCACTTAAAACCAACCATGAAAATCTGCCACTGTGTTCTCCCCCAGCGGCCAACACTGATACCTTACCAGGGCTGACTGCATCAACCTGGGCACACGCACGCTCACACACAATCTCACACTGCGGCAGTCAGTCTCTGTCCACCACAGGGTTTCCTTTTTTTTCTCTTTTTTCTCTCTCCTCTGGGGGTTTTCTCTTCTTTTTATTGTGGGGAGGGAGTTTTTGTCACATTGTGTGTGTGTTTTTTTTAATAATGGGAACAGAGAGAGGGAAGGGGGCAACAGTAAGGGAGTACTGGGGGAGGGGAGGGGATGTTTAGTAAGGGGAATACCACGATGTTGTTCGCCCTCGGCCCCTGGAAAAGAGAGAGAAAAAGAGGGTGAGTTTTTTTCTGGTTGGCTAAAGAAGAAGACACCAATTTCCTGGTGTGATAAATATAAAGTGCGTGTGTGTGTGTGTGTGTGTGTGAGAGAGTGTGTGTGGTTGAGTGAGCTTGTAGGCGGAAAAGGTGCCTACATTTAAACTGGAGGTCCAGATATGAAAATGAATCACAGAAATCTCAGTAGACATACTGTCTTAAAGGTATTTTTTAAGTGTGGGTTTTCCAGGTACAAGGAGAAAATGATTAGTCTGTGAGTGTGGGGGGTTGGAGGGGACAGCAAAGGCCCTCTCTCTCCCTCTTTCTCTCTCTCTAAATCTCTTTGTACGAAAGCGGCCTCCAGGGGTCACTGTGGGGAAAGGCCGTAAGGACGAACAGCACCACACTTGACCCTCAGCAGGAGGCCAGGCATACGCACACACACCAAAAACACACCTGAGGAGGTGGGTGACAGGACTACTGTGTCACCCCTCCAAAGAGCCAGACTTTTGCGTGCGCGCACGCACGCACACACGCACGCACACACACACACAGACAGACACCACAGCTCAGCGATAAACAAACAGATCACGCTGGGACTGAAACCACTGGTCAGAAGCTTGACGCTCAGCTCAGGCTGCAGTAATGAACCCTCCTTTCTGGGAGTGAACACTGTAAAGGTGACTCAGGTCGTGCATTTGAATGTATGTGTATGGATCGATGTACATGCACAGGCGCACAAATGTTCACACAAATGCACACAGTTCCACAAAAAGCAGTTTAAAAAAAAAATCTGAATTTGTAGTCTGTGAGTCTGCTGGCTCACATTCAAATCTCTCCGTTTCACTGTGCCAACTCAGGGAGCTGCACGAGGATGATGTTAATGGGAGTCAAAACAGAGGCGAAGGAAAAAGCCAATCGTTGCTCAAATATCTACGTGACTCTCAGGTTCAACACAGTAACCAGAAATCCAGTTACACATTAAATTGTTAAATCCTTAAAAAAAACTAAAATTAAGCCAATCACCAACATTTAACTCATCAGAGACTGTATCTCAAAAATCCTCCCAAGTTCACACAGTTCAAAGCAGAGATTGTGAACAGCAGGGATGTGTTCCTACAAGACAAGGCACTGTGACGCGTTAACAGACAATTACACCAGTCTGCAGCTCAGCTCATCAGCTGACAGTTACAAATTAGCAATTAAAAACAGCTTTTAAAGTCAATAATACAGCTTTTAAAGTCAATAATACTTTTTACTCAGGTAAATGACTAGAGCTAATAATGTTAGCACTGAATCGTCTGTGTGCCTTGTCCTGCAGTGAGGATCAATCCCAGTGAGAGAACCAGAAGGGTATGGTCTCCTGGTATGTGTAGGAGTAGACAGAGTGATTAGAGAGATTCTGACCGATGACCTTCAGAGGACTCAACAGAGATGTTGTTTTAATGAGACTTCCTCAGACAAATGCTCCAGTCAAGGCCAAGGGCTCCAAAAAACACAAGATAAAAAAATGTGGCAAAACTAGTTTCCACTGTAACCAAACTATTTTGTAGGAGTGCAGTTTACTTTTAAATATTTCTGGTCGCTTTGACGATCCACTCGATCAGATCAGAATCTCATTCAGTCACAGTCAATTGTGTGTGTGTGAAGAAGCTGGCATGCCAATCACGTCTGGCACCACAAATACTTTCTCAGTCTCAACGTGGGGAAAAAAAAACAAAACAAAAAAACAAACAAATCAAGAGAGCATCACAGTCAGAGCTCTACCATAGAACCTACACTCTGGGACATTAGCAGCTTTCTTACCACTAACTTAACTTTTACAACCCAAATGACATCTAACTATCGCCACGTTCTTACATCTCCATAAAAAATGTGCACCTGACTGGAAACAAGGCCCCACAGCAGAGCTCTGCGGCAAAGCCTATTCAACATGAAGGCATTCCGTCTTCTCCCCAGTCAATGTGTGAAGAACACCTGCAGACTCTGTGCTCAACATTCTGAACAGAAGCCAAGCCGTTTGATGCTTAAATGTTGGAGAAAGAAAAATCAGTTATCGGTGCTCCAGTCTGTGGTACCTACACAGAGCTGTTAAATCTGTTCTGTTTAATGTTGCATCCTTTTAGAGACTAATGTTAAAACTGTCAGACAAATTTATGTGACAGGAATAATTACTTTTTGTGTATCACTGAAACTGAAAAAACAAAGTGTTGATTTTCTTCTAAAAGACAATAATGATCATTTACAGAACATTTAACATCTGTCCCTCAATCACAAAAAAGCTGAACATCTCAACGGAATTGTTTTTCAGTAGCCTGGCACACATTTTTGTCTGTTGCAAAAAGTAAAAGAATTTCCCTATAGAGCAGGAGATTTGGAAAAACAAGTACATTTTTGAACCAGTATCTGTCACTATGTTTTAAGAAACTACATTAACCCTGCTGATTACAGCACAAAAAGGTAAAAACATTGATCTGGGATCTTTTTTTAATCACTTTAAAAATGAAGGAGTGGTTTTTGAATTGCTTTGAGCTGTTGTCAAATAGTATTCTCACCTTGCCATTATAACCTTTTCCTGATTCTTATCATTAGGACTATTCATGCTGAAAAACAGGCCCACCCCAGAGCAGACATTTTGTGAAAACTCTTTAAGACTGTAACAAATTACTTTAAGTTTGGTTTTAAATTTACCGACTTGAGAAGATCAAAATGATGAGCACAGAGTCAGTTTGCCACCAGTGAAATGGTTTCATGAGGTGTGGCATGCAACCAGACCTTCATATTGCTAAAACCAACTATGTGTGCTATACCAACTGAAATAACTACTCATGTTTCTGGACCGATGTGTCAAACTTGGACACAGCTATATTTCCAGAAGAGTTGGTACACTTTCTAAAACTTTATTAAATCTGCAAAACTAAATCTGCAGTTTGGTAATGCAGGGTTTTAAAAAAAAGAAAAAAAGAATAGAAAGAAATATTTTGTTTACACCCCTCAAACATAACTATATTTTACAATAACAAAGAAAATTATCCCAGAGAGAAACTAAAGGTTGAAATATACCTTTGACAAATACAGTCAATAACATCACACAGAGACCAGACTGATCTGCAGCTCAGATCTGTGTGGCATGGAAACTATCTGGTGCACAAACTGGAGAATTGAACATCACACTGTGGGGCTGTTCAGTTTGATTATACAGCCACAACTGGCATTTCTCTTATAAAGCTGCAAAAATGTCTAACCTTTAAGCTAATAGAACGTGCAGCTCAAAAAAATAATGCAATGCTGAGGTTAAGTAGCCTTTGACTTTCCTTATTTGACTTGGTTACAAGTGTAATCTTTTGTAAAATTAGTTTATTTTAAGAAAGGTTTAGACGCAGAACCAAATGACAGACTTTAGTTTCATATGTAGAAAGTATACCAACCTTTCTAGGTGTCCTCCAAATCAGATTTGGGGAACCATGATGTCACACATAAATAATGATCCTTCAGATAAAAACCTACACTAGTTACTACAAATACTTGCAATGAGCTCCTAGTGATTCTAAAAAATATTTAAACTAATATGTCCTGTCCTTTTCTTTTAATAAAGATGGGCTTGACTGCTGTACTTACCTTTATTGTACTGGATGTATAATGGAAACTCCCAGATCAATTGTTTCAAAATTTGTGGGCCAAAAAAAAAAGTATTTCTCCATTTTTTTAACAGTTTAAAACCTGCATTACCAGCTGCAACTTTGGGTGGTTTTGATCTCATCTATCTTGAGTTCACTATCTCTGGTGCCAACAGTGTGCGTCGGTGTAGTTCTGCCCAAGGCGGGAGAAGAGAGAGGTTTCGGCGTCAGCTCACCTGAAGGCCCGTCCTCTGCCTCTGGGTGGTGTGTAGCCACTGTAGTAGCGTGCACGTGACGAAAAGCCACCTCCTCGTGATCGGAAGCGCGCACGTGGAAAGCCGCGGTCTGTGGTGCTGATACCTGGTCTGTTTGTTCTCTTGGCACCGACCTGAGGAGTTAGATATGGGATTAGGCCTGAACAGAAGACATTTAATACTTCAAACATTATTTTAGGAACAACTGACTGCAATGTGTATATACATATATTTTTTTATTACATATATACTTTCCTAATTAAGACTTTAATTGTCAGAATATGTAAACAGAACAGAATGCAATTTCAGTGTAAGGAGCTGCAAACGTAGAGGGTACAAAAAGAGTTTCAGTGAAAATCCTAGACATCAAGTGATGCAGACATTTTCTTCATTGTGATAAGTGGTGGCGTGACGGGCAGCCTTAGTTAACTGACTAAAATGTGGAGGTGAAACCAGATTACTAAAAGTTTTCTTTCACTTCAGAGATGATAAACACTAGACTGCCCACTTCCTCATTTACTGAACTTTATCATTCTGAGCAAAAAGTCCTGGCCTTACAGCCTTTTAGCTCTGATTAAGAAACATTTCTCTCACCTTTATCTGCCTTCCTCTGAAAAGGGACTCGTCCAAAGCCATTGCCGTCCTAACAGACTCTTTGTCTGCAAACTCAATATAGGCAAACCTAAAACACATACGTAAAACAGGGAGTTAGGTTGATTATGAGCTCACAAATCACTGGTCAGTATGACATTTTTATTTTACATTACATTTCAGTTAGTTTGAGGTCTTTATTGTTGTGCTATGTAACCGAGATCTTTTTTAAACAAAAAATTCATCAACGAAAACAAAAGACCAACTAGAAAACAATGTTTGGTAAAGCATGGAGAAAAGAAAATCCCATTATCAATGAAGCCCTGGCACAGTCATTTCCCATGGCAACTTTTGAATAAAAAGGCAGAGACTACTATTTTGCTCAAGTGGAGCCGCAAAGATTAGCCAGAGGATTTAGGACTCAATAAAATAAACACTGCAGCCAAAGTCATTGAGCTGGAGCTGTAGAAAAGAGTCAGTTACTTGTTTAATCATTTATACAACCATGCTTGTAACATCCATCTGATCCAGTAGCAGATTCATGATTCTGGTGGGGAAGAGCCAGTGAGTTCAAACTGGCTGTAAACCATTCTCTGAAGATTCATGTTAACATAGAAAAAAAATTTTATATTATCTAGAAATTAAATAACATTGTGTTGAATGTGTTGAAACGCAAAGAGTCTTATGATCTGCAGGAGATGGAGAAAATGTGGTATGTGTTGAAGAAAAGCAGCCAGAGGATAGGTTAATCTCACCCAGTCTGTTACCATGGTGATACAGCAAGAGTTTCTCCTCATTTACTTCAAGTATCCGTACAGAAAGAAAAAAAACTCAAGAATAGTTTGTTCATATTTTGAAGTCCAGTTAAGAGTTTTCAGAGACTTCTAACAGATTCTAACAAATCAACAAAACATTTGTCTGTGTACAAGTAGGGATGTTAAAATATCAATGGCATGGCAAAAAAGTCATCAAGTCAGTTCCTACCCTTTGGGATGCCCTGTGAATTTGTCACACAGAATGGTGACTCTGTTTACTGAACCACAGCCATGGAAGTGGGACTCGAGCTCTTCTGCTGTGGCACCATAGTCCACCTGTGGAGATGAAGGATAAAGGTCAGCTGTATGACTTTTATTATTTATTGAGCACAAAACTTGAAAATGTAAATGTATTTTTTTTAGGTTAACAATTTTCTTGAGAAATTTCAATTAAATTCAAGTTAACCATGTAAAGGTTAGCTAATATACTTCTAGCTTCAAGTTACAGTGCTGGTTCAATGTTTATGTCAAATTATGTGAAATGCTGCCATGAAAAGGTGCAACAAAGACAAATGAGGACAAAAATAGCCTGTGGAGGACACAAAGACACAGTTACTCACATTTCCGACAAAAATAGATCTGCCATCTGCCTCCATCTTCTCCTCGATGGACATGATGACAGGGCCGACTGCACAACCAAAACAAGAAGCAAACGCTTTATTATTGCAGCATTATTTATGTATATCTTTTTATCTGATTTTGCAAGAATTAAGTTCTACTGTAACAAACAATGTAGAATTGTAAAGCACTGTCCTGTTCCAAAAACATTAGTATCTGTAGCACAGTATTTGGATTACTTTCATGGTTCAAATGGTTCACACCTGGTGGGGGGCTGAGATTCATCTGTTTCTCCACCTCGTTCTGGAGCTCCTTCAGCTTCTCTGCCTCTTCCTCCATTTCTCTGACCCGAGCTTTGATTGCCTCCAGCTCCTGTGTCGGAGATAAAGCTTTTGTTAGAGCCCCCAGTTTGAAAGCACACTCAAACATCAATTGAACACTGGACTTCAGCAAAGTAATGGTAATCACACTGATGTTGGCCACAAACAAGACAATGCAGCCATACAGCAGTGAGGACAGTTGACTCCAGGGTGCCACCTATGCAACAGAAAGGCTGTAGATTCTAAAGAATGTGACGTCATGCTGTTGGGATGGAGAGAAAAACTTCCAACCAACTCTGTCTGCTTCGAAGACAGAATGCTAAAACAGCATATTAAGGTGTTCGAGCTGATAAAAACAGCATCTTTGTTTTTTATAAGACCAGCAAACGAACAACACTACTAATGTTGTGCTTTTTACTCTTTTATGTCAAACTTTACGCCGAAGCGGGCATCTGTCTTGTAGTGACGCTGAACAGCAAATCTGTGTGTTAAATGGGATTTGTAAATGGGATATATTCTAGCAGCATTTCAAAAAGGACTATGTGGCTAACAATCAAAAATAAGAAAAACTAGGTCCAGGTTACAAATATTCATTGTTAAACATATATCAAACAGATATTTCAATATATATTTATAATAGAAAATAATATACTCTGTAACAGGACATGTGGTACCAGCACAACAGTGGGCTCAATCTCCAAACTGTTGTGTTACTTGGTCTGGTAAATGTTTTCAGTTACAGTAGTTAGGATCAGGTTAGAGCAAACAACAATATGGTACAAACGTATTACCCTCCCCAAAAGTGGTATTTAGATTGTTGATTACAAAATTTAACAATCAAAGAAAGATTAATAGATTTTTCAAGTCAGAGGCATTGTCTTTCCTCACTCTATACATAAATTAAGATGGCATATTAATTTAGAGAGGCAGCAAAGTAAGAGCTGGGAAATAATTCAGGGTTGGTGTGGTCAGGAGAGTGGGTGAAACCCACACAACAATCATTGTCATTAAATTAAATATATTCTTGTGGTGAGCAGCACAGAGATGGCAGCAGTCTCTGATGTCTGCCAGTGGTGCACTGCAGCACATCCATCTCAGCTCCTTCCACGACTGAAAGAGGCTACGGGAAGACGGTGACGATATGGAGCCTCCAATAAATAAATAAATAAAATACACCCGCAAAATGAGGCACCAGTAAGCAACTTGGTCCCTCAGATATGTGCCCAATATCCCGACACACCAAACGTCAACAAACTTTAGATTCTATATCTTGGTATTCCACGCTGCAGACCTGCTCCACAAAGCCTCCCCTAAACGACTGACCTGCTGTCACTTCCATTTTTGTCGCATATTCTGCGACCACCACCCCTCCCTTTATCCGGTTCGCTCAAACGAAACGGTGTAAGAGACAAAAACGTCGTCTAAAATACTGCAGAATATAAATTATTTGTTTATAATAATGCTAAATTAATCCGACATCACGTGTCGTACAAGGCGAAAACAGTCTACATAAAATTAATTCGGACCACGGAGGTCTCCGGTCCAGCTGTGGTGTAGTCTAACAGAAAGAGGTGGTCAGCAGCATTAGACCCATCTGCATCCCACATTCATTAAATCCATGCTGGAGGGCTAGCTTCGCCACGGTCTCTCGGTTTTGTTGCTGACACTCACAGATACCCGATTAACAGAATCCGTAGGTGCAAATGGCATTGCTCATTTTGTTCGGGTGGTGCTAATGGCCGACAGGTCGCCGGTCATTCCTGCAGCAACGAATGATGCATCTAGCACAAACGCTTTTCTGCTGCTGCTGGTTGGCACCTAGCACGTACACACCCGGGCTCGGAAGCAACAGCATAATGATGATGGTGATGATTAAATGAATAAAATCATGCAATTACCGTAAACAGGTCGCCTTTCCAGGAAGATGGACCCGGCGGCCTGTCCTACCCTCGCCCCTGATGGTCTCCTACTTCTCCGTCTCGCATTTTTTGTGACGAGATTTTTTCCCTAAGTGGCTCTGTCTGCTCCCTGGCGCAGAGAAACTGGTGCCGCTGTTGCGCCAAGATGGCTGCCGACAGCACGCATGTCGCCACCCATTTTTACTGCACTGCGTGAACCACAATGGCGGTTAATATCGAGCTGGCGACAACTGCAACCCACTCGGCATGTGACCCGAGAATATTCTGGAATATAACTCGACTAGACTGCTTTTACAACAGGTACCCCATATAACTACGACGTACCACAGTCTCCATGTGGGCTCACCACGGCTCCAGACAATGCCCTTCACTTACCGGGTCTTCGATCGCGGCCTCTCCCTCCTCTAACCCGGGGTCTTCGTCGCCTACACCAGGGTCTTCCAGTTCGGGATGTCCAGGATCTGAATCTAATAGCGATTCCTCCGCTAGTCCGTTACCAAACTCCGCCATCGCCTTAAAGCTGTTGTGGCTGTACTCCTCGTGGCCAAAGCGATGCAGCAGGCCCCGACTCACACGCGGGGGGTAGCGGAGTGAGCAGGCGACGAAAAAAAAACGGCGGAAAACGCCGCTTACCAAAGTTAAAATTTTGTGTAAACTGAATGTAGGAGTTTCACACAATATTTAAACAACACACAGTTTGGGCCGGAGGCTGCCGTATGACCCACCGTCTTCTATTTGTACTCGGGATTGCCGGTGTATTTACCAAAAATGTGTACACGGAAAAGCGAGAAAAATGTGCCGTCCCTCTACTCCAGACATGGATGCCATGGGCGGAACTACGCGACACTGCGGCCGTTAAACTCTCGATCCGATTTGTCAACCTACGTGTCGTCACAAAGCTTTGTGGCGTCTGCCGTCTTTCTATTAGATGGACGTCGGCACGTTCCGAGGCGTCTATCGAAAACGAGCCTTTGATTGGATGAAATTCCTGTCAATTACATACTCGGCAGGTTAAACTCTGAACTAAGTCAACATGTTCAACGGACTGCAAGAGCAAATGTTATTTTATTTTGAAGAAATAAAATTGTGACCGGAAATACGAAAATATAACGCAAGTGGTTTCAAATGTCCTTGTGAGGAGACTCACAAAACTTAAACAATTAGGAATATGGACATTTTACGACTTCAAATTCTCACATTTAGTCTGTGGGCTCTATTTGTAAAACAAGTTTGAAGCAAAGTCCAATTCCCATTTGTAGGTAACAAATAAATCTAAAAAAATACATTGTTTTGTTTTCTTCATTAAAAGCTTGATCAAGTTTTTGGTCATCCCTGGTTTTTGATTACACACATGCTAGTATATCAATAGATATATTTAATCTCTATCTCTAATCTCTGTCTTGTTTATTTAGTCTTGTGTAATCCTAAAATATAAGCATTTGTAATTCTTTTTAAATAGTTGGTTGTTAAGTGGTTACATCTACCATTTGGTTTTATTGACTATCAAACAGC